TTTCTAAATTGTGGGAATTTGAAAGGTAAGAGTAGGAAATTGTAAATTATTTGTTAATGATTGAGGGAGAGGAGTGATTGTTAACAGTCAGTTCAGATTCTAAAGGAATTTCAGGAGACTTTAGAAAAGGGAAATGAAAAATTTCAGGATGGTTGTTATTTTGGTTTAAACATGGAAAATAGACGGAGAATATGAGGATTGGAAGAATGGGAAGGGATATTGTATTAACTTGAAAAGAGGAAATAGGTTGAGTTGTTGAGATAGGGGAAATTGAGGACAGATTCGAAAAACTAGTAAGGGAAGTAGATGAATCGGAAATATTTTTATATTCTAACGCAAACTGTTTTTCTATTTTTCTAATGACCGACAATAAATTCAAACGTTCTGGCTATTAATTTATTCGACAGTTTTAGGGTTATTTTGAGAGGTGTCTTTTTTTTTATTCTATTTATTTTTAATTTGTTTAGTTAATTTTAACTTCCGGGAGCGCACTGGAATTTTAAATTAAAGAGAACACAATTGTATTTTAAGAACAGACCTTAAAACTTACTTTTGAATAAATATAGTTGGTTCTTTTCTTAAATTCAGAAACGTTGATCCTAGGTAGTTGACTCTCAGGGTGAGGATCTCTTTCAGAACTCACTTCATGGTTTAGATCAATGATCTGAAAGAACTTTTCCCTCCTAAAATTAACATAAAATGTTTCTGAACGTATTTACACTGGGGTTGGTGCGTTGTCTCGCAACTTAATTTATACTATCGGTTTCCTCGTCTTTTGATAGAGGAGGGGATCAATTGTTCTTAGATATCGAATGAACTGAATTTCTAAGGACGTCGAGTGGCTCGCCGTTCAGTGCAATTGACTCGCGATCTATGGATCCAGATTCCCACCTGTGCTCTGCATACGCGATTTTTAGCGTTCGCCATTCGGATTCGGCGTTAAACTGTAGTCGAGGTCCCCTCGAATGTTGACAAACTCTAAAGAGTAAGAATGCTACTATCAAATGCAAAAACACAAGCGAGCCTCTGCCCCCGAAGAGACTCTAAAGCTAAACTGAGATGTACAGTACTGTGACTCAATAATAGGGTCGGAAAACTATACAGGGGAATTTATCAAGACCAAGGTCAACTGAATTTCTATCGTTAGCTTTGAAAATCCTCCATCGCTGATTTCACCTGCGGTGTAATTAATAGAGGGATAGATACTCTATCCCTCTATTAATTATTGTATTTTTGTTTGATATTTTAATCTTCTATTCAAACAGGAATGAGAATAACATTTTTATGAAAGAAAAGAATCGTTAAGAATTCTCTGGATATAATAACGAGGTATTTAATATTTTATGTCAATATGTGCCAGAATTAAGTGTAAAGTAACCCGAAAAATATGATTCTTTGATATCTTTACCATCTATACTTTTATATGCAGAATAATTAAAGAAATTATATCATGCAAAAGAACTATATGATTCTGTTTAAAAAATCGAGGGAATATTGACCTGATTTTAAGGATATCTCAAAGTTAATCAAGATCACTATCTTTTTTCCCCGTAACTAAGCAATTTTTGTCTGAAACATTTTTATCTTAAATTTAAGGATTTTGGATTAAACTTTAGAAACTGGGCGACCTCACCAATTCCAATGACCTTGACATATGTTGTCAAGATCATGACTCTAAATCAGTGATTCCCCACAAATTTTAACTGTCGCTCATTATTTAAAAAGTTGTTAAAAAGTTGTTAAAAAGTTACTAATAAAAGAAGTTACTTCCTTTCCCGCTTAGGGGCGTGCGATTTTCACGCGAAGCGACTTCCTCCTTATCTCCCCCCTTGCTTAGGGGCGCACAACTTCTGTATTTGTACTGTTGCACATGGGTTTTGACTTTCCATGTGAACTTAATTTAAAAAAAAAAATGAAAAATTAAATATACGTTTAATTTAAACTTTATTTGTTAATAACTTTTTAACGAATAAGTGACAGTTAAAATTTCTGGGAGATTACTCAGGATCATGATCTTGACAATATATGTTAAGGTCATTGGAATTGATGAGGTCACCCATTTTTTAAAGTTTTATCGGATTTGAAATGTTCTACTTGTATTAAAATGGACTACCCTGCATATTAAGAAACTAAAATAAATAATTATAGAAAATTTATCGAAATAAGTTCAAAAACATTTGCTGTATGGAGACTAGTTTAGTCTTATTCTAATATTAATTATTAAATTTAATATTCATCATTATAAATATTATAATTTTAAAATCTAATATCTTTCAAACAAATTATTACTTCCTAAGTATAAATTATTACTTCCAAATTATTACTTTCTACCGTTCCTAACGGTAACAATAACGAGATATTTTTTTATAAAGAGTAACGGGAGTGACGGTAACGAGTTATTTCTATAAAGTTACTTTTTTTATGAAGCAATGTTTCTAACCTTGCTAACTATGTATTGTATAAAATTTTAAACGATTAGCTAGTCTACGATTAGCTGATCTCGTTTAAGTTACAAAATGTACGCGCCATTGTCGCACTATTCTTGGTGCGCGTGTGCACTGCTGTGTCTTCTTTTTGATATGCTCTGATTTCGAAAAAAGGATGTTAAAAGAAGAGTACCAAAAAAACGTTTGAAATGATCCAAAAGATTTGTAAAAAGAACATTAATTCGAGTAAACAATTTTCGATGGCATGCCAATTTCGTGAAGGAAGAAATTCCCGCAACCTCTCACTTATGAAATGTAGCATATCATTGGAAAATGTTCATTTGATGCACTTATTCGTTTTCACCAATGTAGATTAACTTTAATCTTGGTTAAACTTATTCTTCAGCTTTTCCTAATTTTTAGAACTAGAAAAAATGAAGAATAAATTGATTAAAGTTAATTTATATTGGAAATGTACATTGATACTTTATTCCATAAGCTTTTAAAAAATTTGTTAGACAGATATAAACTGACTTTAAAACAAAAGTTTACAGCGGTACGTTGTTCTTCTTTTGAATTTATGACGTACTGAAAAAAAATAAGAGATTACCTTGGGCCAGTATTCATAGTCAGTTCGTATTTCAAGACCGTCTTAAGTAATGTCTTAAGACGCTAATGCGGTATTCTGATTGGTTTGTGACACCTTAAAAAAGACGGTCTTGAATATAAGAACTAACTATGAATACTGGTCTTAGAGTCGTTAAGCGTCGTCTACAATGAACAGTAGCAGTAGAGGCTGTAGATACGACGGGAATAAGCTGGTTTTTCAGCCCAGCCAGAAATGGTTGATTGATCAACGTCAAATCAATGCTGATTCAACGTCGCTCGACGTCAAATCAATGTTAATTTAATGTCGATCGATGTTAATTCGATATTGATCGATCAATCACTTGTAGCTGAGGATGTAATAGAGCATAGAATAGGTTCATAAACGAAATAGATTTCAACTATTTCTGACTTACGGACTTACTCTACGTCCTATTACATTGATTGATCGATCAGTATCGAATTAACATCGATTTTACGTTGAGCGACGTTGAATCAGCATTAATTTAACGTTGATCAATCAACCATTTCTGGCTAGGCCGGAAATAACTAGCTTACTCCCGATGTGTCTACAACCTCTACTGCCACTGTTCATTGTACTACTAGAAGTAGAATGGATCGCTGTGTGTGAACGTGAAACCAGCATCTGTGTGAGAGAGAGAAAGCTAGAGCCCCAGTTGATTGTAATGCGCATGTGCCACTTAACCTGTTTGCCACTTAACCGCGTTTCACTTCGTTTGAACATTTGTCGCCAAAGTAAAAAACGAATTTAGCGTAATAAAAAATGCCTTACAAATATTGTATAATGTGTGGTAATCGTGATAATTCGATTTCTTATTACACTTAAGTTAATTTCTGAAATATTTTATGTAGGCATCAGTTATGTGACAATATATAGATTTACATATGTTATTGATATTTAATATATGCTATTGATATTTAATATATTATATTTATTTCATTTCTTTTAAAAAGGTTTCTGAAAAATAAAAAAGTTTTGTAAAAATGGCTGTTATTTTGTGGAATTAATAAGAATATTTGAGTCAATTTTATTTTAACCTTATATGCATTCTTATATTAAAGTTCATTCTAACACTAATTTATTAAATACAATAGATTAAGTCAGTTTTATTATCATTTTGTCTAAGACACATAACCTAAAACCTCTGAAACTAACAATAACAATGTATAAGAAACACTAAGCAACTGTACAATTCATACAAATGACAGTACTGACTCATGCGCATTGCGAACATTTGAGATTGTCTAGCTTTTTCTCTCGTATAGTAACAGATGTTAGCAGCTTCACGTTTAGTACATGGGTGGCATAGGCAATTCCACTTCCAGTAATATATGTTCTAAAGAGATTACGAAATCTGGCACACTATCGAAAGATATTTGCTCGATTTAATATTTCATTTCCATAAACTTTTTACATAATTTCGAACACTTGTTTGATAAATTGGCTTTAAAACAAAATTCTATAGCGATATGCTCTTTTTTTTTAAATTTATAACGTATTAAATCAATAAGCTATGTAAAACAATATCAACTAATTGTAGATTATTTAAGTTTTATATATAAGCTAAGAATCTCACGAATATTGTTTGGGCAATAATTTATAGATGGCGCTACTGATTACTATAAAATAATCAATTTCAAAATTTATGGATCGCAATGTGTGTATATATAGTTTACAAAATAATATACAATATATTTCATTCAAACAAAAAGAAATTTTTACAATAGGTGCCAACTTTTTTCTGATCTGAAAGAGATAAGAATAATTTTCATCTTGTAAGTGTGAGAGAGGTATTTCATAGAATTAAAAAAAATATTTTCTTATTATTAAATGTTCTTATGCAAGTTAGGTGAATAATTTTTAATTTACATATGCACATGTACACGACGCACGCATACATTTTTATTAATTCGAGAAAATGTTTCTAATGTGTATATTAATTTTAGTAAGTAATAGGGATTCGTATAAGGAACCAAGCAGCCATGTTGCTACTGAAAGATACTCACCTGTTCGTCGGGCATCGGAAGGATCGGGTGCACCTGGACCAGGCATCCAAGCACTTCAACAAGAATATCAACAGTTACAAAGATTAGCATCACCTTCACACAGTCCTGCGAGTATTCCTGGTTCTCCTGTTCACGAAAGAGGTGTAGCAGCAATTACGCAAGGTATTAATTTTTTTTATAGAACATTTTGCTAATTTAATATGTAATGCACATTATTATAATTTTTCAATATAAATAAGCAAATGAAACCTTATTTAGTTAAGGTGGGTCTTTGTGCCTAATAATATTCTCATGTAAATTTTACTATTTCCAGTTTATGCAAAATGCGCACCGATTACATTGCCGACAATTTAAGCTTTCTTTTGTATCATAGACTGGACAAAGTAATTTTTATAGATTTTTATCAGGTTAGAAACACAAGCATACGAATCTAGAAACGAAATTGCTGAAATAATATCTGATTCTGAGGTAAACAAATTAGTATAAAAACAAGAAGGATAATATGCCGAATAGAGGAGACAGCTCCGATGACGTTGACTTTGACATGTTGTCAAGGTCATGACAATCCTAAATGACTTCTATCAGGTTTTAACCGTCGCTCGTCATTCATTAAAAAATTATTAACAAAAGAAGTTTGAAGAATGATGTCTCTTTTCTATTAAATAAAACAGAAATTTTCTGTTTTAAAGTATATTTAACAATTTTCCACGCAAAGCAACTCTCACCTCACCTTCCCCCTACTTAGAGGCGCACGATTTCCTCACGAAGTGACTCTCACCTCACCTTCCCCCTGCTTAGGGGCGCACGATTTCCTCACGAAGCGATTCTCATCTCATCTCCCTCCTGCTTAGGGGCGCACGATTCCACGCGAAGCGATTCACTTTATTTTCCTCCCTGCTAAGGGGCGCGCGACTTCTACGCGAAGTGACTCTCACCCCACCTCCTCCTCTGTTTAGGGGCGCACGACGACTTCCACGCGAAGCGACTTTTATCCCACCTCCCCCTCTGCTGTACTTTAAAGCAGAAAGTTTCTATTTTATATAGTAGAAAAGAGACATTATTTTTCAAACTTCTTTCGTTAATAACTTTTTATGAATGAGGAGCGATGGCTAAAACTTGGTGGAAGTCATTCAGGGTCATGACGTTGACAACATATGTCAAGGTCAAGATCATCGGAGCTGTTTCCACTATTTGGCATATTTACCAACAAGAATGTGATTCGCATCTTCTGTTATTGAAGTCGATGAAACCAGAGAAAAAGGAGTTCACATTGGCCGGCAAATGCGTATTAAGCGTGTGGAATTAACGAATCTTCCTTAGCTGAAATTACTTCAGCAGGTGAAGAAGGACCATGCTCATCTTTTGACAATTCAATTTGATTTCAAGCCAGTTTAGAAGTGTCAGCATAAACGCATTAATTATCGGAGGAAAAGGATGTTACGTTCGGAGGAAAAGGGTGGTTACGTCGCTGCTAAGTAGGGACTCGAAAGATAGACAATACGGCGTGACACGTGGACGTGAGTGCGATTGGGAGAGTGGCGGATTGTTTATCGGAGTGGGGGAGATACGATCAGAATGGCAGCGAGACCGAGCGGCAAACCGTGAGACTGCAAGTGCTGGCGTATTGCATGCTACAGGATTTCTAAAGCACTTTTATCTGAGAATATTTCGTTACTTAATTAATTCGAAATATATACTAAGAATTGGTATTAGTCTTTAATATTGAGATTAAAAATCATTTAGAATTTAGATGATGTTATCTGAGCATAATTGGTTATTTAATTAATCGGAATGTAGAGCACTTGTTTGAATTGATTTATTTGTGCTTCAAAGATTGAAAGCAATAATTAATTCAGACAAATTATATTTCTTGGACAGAAAAATCCATAAACAATCTCAACAATTCGAGCCTTTTTATCATCTTGTACCTATGGGAGAGGGAAAGAGAAAATGATTGAAAGAAGATTGAATAATGCATCGAGTATCATTTTCGTTTATAACACCGTATTTGAATGGGACGCGAATTACCGTTTTCGATTGGAACACCGGAGATAATTCGCGGGTATGATCATCGTGATCTAGAAGGCCTTGGGGCCTGTCGCGAGACCACAGACTTCTATATATACTACTAGACTGCTAACTCCTTATGGCAAGCTTATGTGAAATGGACCCCGAAATTGTATAGTAGCTCTGCGCACGAATATACCCAAAGGAATGCAGTATGGCTGTGTTTTGCATCAACTGTTCACATGCTAAACGTATAACCTTATGAAAGTGGTATGATCTTATAGCGCAAAATATTGTTTTTTTTTTTTAAAGAAAGTGGTGTGATCTCATAGCGAAAAATTTTGTTTCTTTTGGAAGAGAAAAAGTTTAAGTAAAAAGGTAAAGATATTGGAAAGACAATTGAATATTAATAAACGTCTATAAAAGATGCAGTCTTATTCAATTTCTCATAAATTAGAATAATTTATAATAGCTGACTTATGAAAATAAGTATTTGGTGGTTTTAATACTGTTAAATTAGGTTAACCTGTCAAAATAGTGTGCTGATGTGTGCGCATGTGTAGATATACGTCACATGGTCACGCGGAGCGGTTCTCGACGCATGTGTATAATGTTACATCAAAATTGGGGGCCACTTTTTCAAACAAGTTAGTAGTAGTATATATAGTTACTAGTAGTATATGTAGAAGTCTGTGCGCGAGACGGATGCGGAGCGAATACCTTGTCCAGTCATTCTATCGAATGTGAACTTATTTTATTGATAATTTGTAATTACTAGAAAAATAATCAGTTATGGATTAAGTGAGGTGGGACGTGCGGAAGAGAAGAACTGCGCTGCTCCGGGCACAGTTCTTCTCTTCCCTTTTTGACGGACGAGGGGGATAGGAAAGGGAGGACTGCACTGCTCCTACGAGCGCAGTCCTTCCTTTCCTATACCCCTCGTCCCCGTGAGGGTGTAGGAAGAAAGAAAACTTAAAGAATATATGTACTTTCCAAAGATTCTATTCAGAGATATTCCATGGTCTTGTTTGATCCTCACAGTACGATATCCTCGGAAATGAATTCCGTACGAAGTTTGGAGTTGGAATGAATCCAGCACGAAGCCCAGAATGGGAAATAAATCCGATTTGGCGATTTTCACAGCGCTTATATAGGCACAGGTACTCGCGATTCGCGAGGAAAGGGAAGCTCTGTTTTCCCGGAATCGGCAAACACATTATCATATTTTTTGTTTGTGCTTATCTCGATGTTTAGGGAGTGAAACACTCCCTCGAAAACATTTTTTTTTATTATTTTATTATACCTGCGCGCCCGTATATATCGTGCACTCGTATATATATAAACGCTGAATTTATACCGAAGGACTTCGAATTTCGCTCTAAAATTTTAGAGATATATTGGGCGAGTTCAAGACGGCAAAGCCGCTAGGCATGCTTGCCGAGCGAATGAGCATGATTGGTTCTTGCCATTCCTGTGAATCCAACCAATAATGTTTAATTGCTCGGCGATCAGATTTAGCCGCTTTGTCGACTTGAACGCGCCCATTCTCTCAAAGAGTTGTACTATGGATTTATAAAAAAAATCTACGTTTTTAAATATACCATACTCCCTATAAAGCAGAAGACCCCCTTAATTTGGTATGAGATTTAACTTGGCGTTAATTGTTGATATCAAATCTTTTATACGAATGACATATAAAATTTGGTAGACTTTAACTTGGCGCCAGTTGGTGGTATCAAATCTTTTATACAAATATATCATTAAAGATAAGTAAATAACAAAGATATTATATGGATTTTATTTTTTAATTTGGTTAGTTAAGATTGTAGCATTTAGATTTTAATTTTTAATTTGATACAATTGTTTCTTTAAAGGTGTAATTTCGACAGAGAGAATTAAAGCTGCCATTACTTTGATAGGAATAAGAAGATCTTTTATAAGAATATCTTTGAAAAAAATTAAAACTTCTATTACTAGGGTTGGAATAATAAAAAGATACATACCGTATCACTTAGGTTTTATTCGAGAAGCACATATATTCTTAGCGCCTTTTTTACCTTCTTTAAAAAGGTAAGTTTATACTGATATCTCTCACACCTATTTTTTACAACATGTGTAATAATTGTTAAATTTCAATATAAAATAATTATAAATTCTACAATTTGTAAAAAAGTCCCATCACTACTCCCGTCATTTTTTAATTTATATAATTGTAATATAATTTATATAATTTATATAATATAAAAATGTCAAGTTAAATATTAAAACGACGGTTATCTGTATTTTTCAAGGAATCATGATTTCCGAAAAAGAATTAAAGCTGTTATGACTTGGTTGGAATAGGTAATTTGGTATAACAGTTTTTTTCTACAAGCGTGTGGCATTTTCTTTACTTTCTATAAAAAGATAAATTTGTATTGATAGTTTATACAGAAAGTCACAAATATTGATCATTTTTTTTGGAATTTATTGCCACGTATTGTTTGAATTCTGACATGTAAGAGCATTGGTATTTAATAGAATTAAGGAAATTCTGTCATCCTGTCAGAACAATTCAGATCGTTTTCCTATACGACTACTATAATTTTTTAGAAGATTTTTCAATAAAACATCAGGGCCCCCATTCTGTAACTGTTTTACACGTTTACCGACGG